ATTGTCTCGTAAGCATCTTTATGAATGACGTGGGATTTATCAGCATTAAACATAAAGAATAGGCAAAACCAGAGTACTAGAAAATTTTCCCAAAAGTGACAATAGGGACAAAAGAAAGATCTAGTTCTTTCTTCAACAATTTCTGATCTCTAGTGAATCTCCCAATAGGATTCAAACTCATATAAAGTTATGACCATTTGTCAGAGAAAAAAGAACGAATAAATCTTATAAGATTTTCGAGAAATTCTTCGATTTCTTCCAGAAGCGGATGATTATTCATCTGCTTCTCATGTTCCGTAAATAGCCAGGACATTGAAAACTATCCAGAAAAGTATTTAGGGAATCAGTCTAATTCTATCTCTGTTCATTCCGTTTGAAGAAAGGAAAGATCCCAAAGAATCGATCTTTGTTTTAGTGGTTGAATCTCTCTTTGATTGATCAATGTGTGATATTCCAAATCCTCATTATCGATAAAAAACCAGTATTTTATCAAATAAATGGAATTTATTGGAAGAAGACACCGTGGATTCAATTCTTATAGCTGGTGGCAGTAGAGAGAGAAGGAAACAACAGTAGTTAAGTAGTAAAATAACCTATTCATAAGCATCCGCATGTGCAATGAAATATCAGGATCAGCCCCACTTTTAAGGACTGAGAGCACTGCTTCTTCAACATCCTTTGAAGGAGATATAAGAATTCTCATCAGTTCTCCAAATACATTAGGTCTAGATTCTAAAACCTCTGGCTGTCCAAATAAATTAGAAGCAGCAGCCCTCATAGCAGGATGTACATTCTTCAAGAAAAATTGAGCAGCCACAGCATCAGTTGTACCTTGGAACCTGATGCACTCCAGTCAGCATAATAAACAAAGTACAGAATGAGTACCAGTTTAATGTAAAATGAAAGTTAATCATACCATATGATAGGGTGCTCCCATTCCTTCCAATTACTGCAAAGAACATTTGTCTGTGCAGGCTTTTCAAAATCGTCAATCCGCATGATCAAATGCCGTTTGAATTTCCTAACACAACCTTTAAGTCTCCACAAATGTTTGATTTCTTTCAAGGTAAACGAGATATCAGAATAAGATATGTAGTCCCCGAATGGAAACTTGCCCCTGAAAATAGAAGTAATAGAATAACTACTGTAAATATAGATAATTAAGGAAAAAAAAAAAGATGACTAGGAGGAAAAAGTTAAAAAGAAAAGACATACAGAGAATAGTTCAAGTTCACATGCTATCAAGGCACGACTACAAACCTATTTCATAGATATGCCATAGTTTCTTCTGATATTTGTCTGATGGCTTCTTTGAAGCTATGCCATCTCATTTGTAACATTTTAATTGAGGAAAGCTAACGAGTTTTTACATACCATACCAGATACACCACGAGTTTTTACATACCATACCATAGACAATAAATGGTTCTAACGACTCAATGCAATTATAGTATTCAAAACCAATATTTAAATAGAAATAAAAAGGCTTGATATAGAACCAACATGCCTGGTTTGCCCAATAATCAAGGATCTGTTCAGCATTATACTTAAAGCTCCAGCAGTTAGAATCTTGTACATCTCATTCCCAAAGCCTGCCTCTGAAGATTTGCCCATGACAAAACCATGTTTGCAGAACTGCTCAGGAGGAAGATGTCGCACTCTTGAAGCACCTAAAATGAAACTAACTATGTAAGCATTTGTAGATCTCAAAAAGCTAACAAGTTTTCCACCAGAAAACAATTATGACAGAAGATTTGACAGTGAAGGAAACGTCAAGATGGTTCGCGCATAATCATCCATAAAAACAAAAAGAAGAGGACATTATTATGAAGTTAATGAAACCAAAAGTCAAAAGATGGCAATCAAGAAGATTAGTTTTAAATTGTATTTGAATAAAGAGCATAGACTCGAGCAAATATGCACACAATCAGACACGTACTAATTTTCCGATGACCTATTCTAATTCTAAAGAACGAATATACATACTTGAGTTTCCTCCCTTACGTAATATTTTGTCAGGAGGTACACCATAACTCGCAAGACTCGAGAAGTTCCAGTTTGTGGTCTTCACTGCAACTGCTTGGCTTCACAAAACGTCCTCAAGTGGAAGTTTGGAAGCAGTTACAAAGCTATTTCACTTGTTTAAAGGCTGCCAGTCTCTTTTACTAACACAGCCAACTACTTAAGAAACCAGTAAGTTGACTATTAATTACAACTGACTATACTAGCCAATAAATCAAAATAGAAAACTGATGGCAGCAATTAACTTCTAAGCATTAACTAAACCAAACCAGCCAGCGGTTCATTTTCAATTTACTCCATTGGTATCTTCCTTGTTATAGACCTAACAGCTTGAAGAACCATTTGTAACGGCCCAAGTCCACCGCTAGCAGATATTGTCCGCATTGGCCCGTTACGTATAGCCGTCAGCCTCACGGTTTCAAAACACGTCTGCTAGGGAAAGGTTTCCACACCATTATAAGGAATCCTTCATTTCCCTCTCCAACCAATATGGGATCTCACAACCATTGAGTCCACCTTTTGGATTTCAAAGCAGCTCAGGGAGACCATTCTGCATGCACATAAGGTACATAAATGGAATCATGATTACATTGAAGTTTTAACCACGTATACTATGATCGTTATGGTATTATTATCCCCCACTGACCAAGTGAAATGGTCTCTTCGACCTGCCAGAGAAAGAAGGATAATGACATTCCACCCTTCTGCTAAATTTTTTATTTTATTTTATTTAATAAGAAGCTGGATCTATCATTAAGCAAAAGAAACGAAAAACGGCCAATGGCTTACTCCCTCTTTCTTCCACATTCCTCCATTTTGTACCAGTATAAGGAAAAGTTGACCAAAATCCTTCTTTTGCACCAGTCCATTGGCATCCATCTTCCTATAAACTTCTAGCCAGGTGAAAAAGTAAGGACTCTGTTCAGGAACTCTTACCTTCCAAATTATATCTAGGAAGCCCAAGGTATTCTCTAGTTTCATCCACTGCCTTTTTCAACCACTTTACCCAACTTACTCCCTCTTTCTTCCACATTCCTCCATTTTGTTTCCACTTTCCTCTATTTTCACTCATCTTTCCAACATGAAATCCCGCGTTCATAAAATGCAGGCTACCATCTTCATGACAAAAGATCAATACTATGGTGAGAATGGCAGAGAGGGAAGCTAATGGGGTTGAGAGAAGATGCAAGAAGTCATGCAGATTCATAAGTTATTCTCGTAAAAGAGATGACATTCCCAAGTTTGGACAAAATACCTTTGTTTTTTATCCAGAACCTCTTTTTACTCAATACCACCAAGCCATCAGTATTATAAATTCAATTGTTTCTGCCATTACACTCCCCATAGAACATCAAGAGATTATAAGAACGGAAAATGAAAACCATCACTCAACTAACCTGATCTAAAAACCAAAATAAAAACTGATTTCTAGTAACTATTAATTATTCAAAGAGAGTGCAGACAGTTGTCAGAAAAGCAAATAAAGAAACATTACCATTCAAATAAAAGTGATTTTGAATAATTGTTCTTACTCTCAGGCTTTCCTTCCAGACACCATCGTTAAAGACCTCTCCCATCTGCTCCACCGTCGCGCAGGAGCCCCGCCTTCCCTCGATTCCACTCCGAGCAAAACTTTCCTCAACGTCGTCGCCATTACCAAACTGATCAGAGCTCAATTCCGATCCTCGGGATTCCAGCCTAAAAAGAACATTGAGCATCAAAAAACCAATTGCTGCACCGACAGCACATAGAACGACGACATATCGTACAAGCGATGACGATCTCTTCCTCTTCAATCCACCATGCCTCATTTTTTCCTTTGCTTCACGATCTGCTGCAGGAGATTTTGAATAATTGGAGCTCATTGTGAAATTTTGTCGTGCCCCCGTTAAGCTTAAAGCTTGGTGTTTCCAGCGGAGAAATCGGAGATAAATAACAAATACTACAAATGGATTAAATAATAAATTCACAATTTCACTCCATCAAATTTTCACCACCATCTGCATAATTTTACCACCGTAAATATGTGAATTTAAATTTCTGATCTAAAAAGTTAAACTAAATTGTTTTAAAATTTTATTATAAGATGTAATTGTTTTTATTTATAAACTAAAGTAATTAGTTTTAAGAAAGATATTCTAAACTTTTCTATTTTATATTTAATAAATCTTTAAACAAAATTTTATCTAATAAATCAATATGCTATTCAACCATTAAAAAAATAAGATTATAGACTTATTTGAGTTAAATTAGGTTCAAATAAATGAAAATGAATACAAATTTATTATTAATTTTAAATATACATTTTTTTTTTGTTTACACCTTATTTTTATTTAATTTCGCAACTATTTTTCTATTATTTATGCAAACATCATTTTCCAAAATATATATTGAAATTAAGTTTCAAATTTTAATTAAATATTTGTAAAAAGAAAACGAAATAATGTTCAACAAAAATTTAAATAATTCGAACCAATCCAATCCAAAAAAAATTATGGTTCGATTGAGTTCATTATTTAATAAAGGTTTGCGAGTTAACGAGTTGGGTAACAAAATCGAGAATTAAATAAACATATTTAACATAAATATGAACCAAATTAATATGAATTCTGAAAAAAGGTGGATTAAAATTCAGAATTTTTTTGAAGGAAAAATTTAAAAACCTAGTGGAATATATGAAGTTTGATGGGATAATGCCACGTGGCAAGATTTTTGTATTAAAAACATTTAATTTGGGTGGGAAAATAAATAGAAAGGGAGTGGGATTTTGAAGGGAAGCAGAAAGTCCGACCACAGAATCAGGGCGTGGCCTGCAGAGCCAAGTAACCGAAGTTCTCTAAACTCCCGCTCTCTCGCCTCTCCTTCATAACGACCATTTCAAATCCCACCACAAAAGTCCAAAGAAAAAAAAAAAGAAAAAAAAAACACAACACACACACTCCAGATGATCAAACAAAAACAAAATTTCCATAGCATGGACAATTTTCTTCACAATTCCCACCTCTGTTCTTGAATCTCTCCGATTTTTCTTCGTTCTTCCAAGTTCCACATTCTACTACAATGGAGATGGACAAGAACCAGCCTGAGAATCAACACCTTCTTCAAGAGACCACTAGCTTCACTACAAATGATGACGCCCCCCGATTGGACGGCGCTGATGATGCCAATGTTACTGTTCCTGATCCTGATGCTGCTGTAGAAACCGACGCCGATGTAAAATCTGCAGAGAAATTGGAGAATCAGGAGAACGAGGAGGAGGAGACGCAAAAGGAGGAGGAGACGCAAAAGGAGGAGGAGGAGGAGGAGGAGGAGGAGGAGGAGGAAAACAAGGAGGATGAACCGGATCTTCATTATAATCTCCACACGATTCTTGCGGATGTCGATCAGTTTCTGTTAACTCCTCACGGTTCTCGTGATCGAGAGGAAGATTCCGCTGTTGAGATTCCGCACTTCATTGACAAATTCTTGGATCTTGTGGATGCGAAGATTGAGCAATACAATAACGCGGAATCGAATGCGAAGGAGAAACAGTGTCGAGTGCCGGAGGACGAGTCGTCGTTTCTCGAAGCGGTTGATCGGATATCGAAGATGAAAACTGCGATTCACGAAATGAAATTGGAAGAGGAGAAGAATTCGTTGATCAATCGCATAGGGAGTACTCAACAGCGAGCGATTTCTTATTTAGAAGAAGAGTTCAGGTTCTTTCTCGAGGAATCCAAAAATAGAGATGTGGATGTTGACGATACGAAAGGAGAAGGTTGTGTAGTACCAGAAGCTGAACCCGATCATCAACAGATTCCAGTTTACTCCAACGAGATCTTGAGCTATTTGAAAAAAATCGCCAATCAAATGATTTCCGGTGGATACGCATCGGAATGCTACCATGTCTACATCGTTGCGAGAAGAAACAAATTCGAAGAGGCCTTGTTGAACCTAGGGTTCGAGAAACACAGCATCGATGATATCCAGAAGATGAGTTGGGAATCAATGGAGTGTGAGATCGGCACATGGATCAGAACCTTCGAGCAATGCGCCATCGTTTTGTTCTCCGGCGAACGGAATCTCGCCGAATCTATATTTTCAGCGCATCCTACGATTTCCGCCAATCTGTTCAACAACCTAACTCACAGCATTGTGCTTCAACTGCTAAATTTCTCAGAAGGTGTTGCAATGACGAAACGCTCCGCCGAGAAGTTGTTCAAGCTTCTTGATATGTACGAAGCTCTTCGCGATATGCTCCCAAAAATGGAAAGCTTATTTCCAGAAAAATACGCCGAGGAGCTCAGAACAGAGATCGCAACCACTCGAACTCGTCTAGGCGAAGCGGCGATATGCATATTTTGCGATCTCGAAAACTCGATCAGAGCGGACACCGGAAAAATCCCGGTACCAGGCGGCGCCGTTCATCCATTGGCTCGATACACCATTAACTACTTGAAATACGCTTGCGAGTACAGAACCACACTGGAACAGATATTCAAAGAACACGCAAAGATCGAGCGAGCCGATTCAACAAGTCGACCACGTTACGAAGGCGAACAAGCACCGACTTACAACCCTAACTCTGACAATCAATCACCATTCTCCGTGGAACTGATGCGGGTAATGGAGCTCCTGGACTCAAATCTGGAAGCAAAATCAAAGCTATACAGAGACATAGCACTGAGTTCGATTTTCATGATGAACAACGGTCGATACATCTTGCAGAAGATCAAAGGATCTCCAGATATCCACGAACTGGTAGGCGATACGTGGTACAGGAAGAGATCTTCGGATCTTCGTCAATACCACAAGAACTACCAGAGAGAGACGTGGGGGAAATTACTGGGTTATTTGAACCACGAGGGATTGACCTGGCACGGGAAAGTGAATAAGCCAGTGCTGAAGGAGAGGTTTAAAGGATTCAACGCCCTGTTCGAAGAGATTCACAAAACACAGAGCTCGTGGATCATAAGCGACGAACAGCTTCAATCGGAGCTCCGAGTATCAATATCGGCGGTGATGATTCCGGCGTACAGATCATTCCTGGCTAGGTTTTCGCAGTACTTGGATCCGGGGAGACAAACAGAGAAATACATTAAGCTTCAGCCTGAAGACATAGAAACCTACATAGATGAACTATTCGACGGGAATCCAACCTCCATGGCAAGAAGGAGAACATAAAGCTCGAAGCCCCAGAAACGAATTTGAAAAAGGCAAGACACCATTTCTCTCTTCTTCTTCTTCTTCTTCTTCATCCTCTTCATCTTCTTCTTCATCTTCTTCTTGCTGAGGTTAATTCTGTTGTTTCAGCTTCAATCTGCAGATTGCAACTGATAAATTGCAATAGCAGTTGCAAATTCTTCTTCCTTGGCTTCAACTTGCTGAATCGCTGCTGGGCTGCTCCCTTTTTTTTTTTTTTATAATTTTGTTTATGTTGCATTTTTCCCCTCTCGTTTTTTCAAATGATTGTTTGTAATTGCCAAATCAATGTAATTCTTTTGTTGTTGGCCTTCCCTCCATTGTTGCCTCCACACCCAATAGATTTTTATTGTTTTATTTACAAATTCTGTTCCTTTTTTATATACCTAAATGATATTTGATTTTGTACGTCAACTTGGTTAGGACATGTTTGGAATTGTTGAAAAAAAAAAGTTTTTCATAATTTAACTAGTTTGGAATTAAAACACTTACATTATTCCAGAACACCTACATTTTTTTTTTACAAGCAATTTAATTTTGGATTTAAAATATTATGATTGGAGTGAGGTTTGCTCAAGGCAATATTGATCATCTATAGTAGTCATTAGCGTTAGTTATCATTATCAGGAGAGCTGATGGACGACAACTAATATACATGACAGTAATGGTGTTCGGGATGAGTAGTGATATAGAAATGATTGATTCTCTTATTTTAATACTTTGATTTAATAAAAATAAAGTAGCTAAGAAATATAATAAAATTTTTAAAAAGTATTTATAAAAATCAAACAAAAATGTTCAAAACAATTATCTTCGATTCTGAAAGAACAATTATCAGAAATATTTTATATCATATATTTTTGTTGAAAAAGTGTACCTCAAACACGATAGGAAAAAACGTCCCATTATTTATGAACAGAAGGATACAACAACACATCATCAATGCATTATTCAGCAAATTGTTGAATTCCTGCAAGTTTCAGATCTCAAAGCTTGCTCGTAATGTTGATATTCCTGACCTTTGATGGCCTTGGGGCTGTATCTTTGGGCACAACAATGGTGAGGAGCCCATCTTCAACCTGCGCCTTGATTTTATCCAACTTTACATTTTCTGGCAGTTCTAACTCCCTGGAAAACCCCCTCTTCCCTGTTTGTCTTTCCGCCAAATGCCAGATTGCGTCCTTTCCATGAGCTTCCTCTTTACCACTCGTTCCTTGAATGTGTAGAACATTCGCCTCGTTGACCTGTACTGTTATCTCGTCCTTGCTGAACCCTGTGCAGATTTCGAATTAGGAAGCGCATGGAGAAGAAAAACAGAGAATTTAAGAAAGTGATGAACTAAACATGTATTTTGTGAAGAGATGTCTGTAAATGTTCGAGTTAAGCTTGCACAATCTCCTACAAAAGCTTGTGAACTCGTTCCCTATGAACTCTTGGTGATTTTCCTTTTCACTTATTTTGTTAAGAGTACTAATTTTAGTTGATCGCCATCTCCAGATTTTCATTTTTCGTTTTGTTCTTCCCTCTAGGATCTACATATTAGCTTCAGACGTACAAGGAAAACTTTCAAGTACTACGCTCATTCATCCATTCATCCGTTACTTGCCACAACATTTCATCTTATGAGGTGTGGAATGCTGAACAGGAGAAATATGTACCAGCGTTGCAGAGATTTTCGCTTCTATCTGCTAACATTTAATCCACCTTAAGAAACCAAAAATATAAACACTCGATTAAGTACTAGGTTTATCTAAACTCGAACAGTCTTTAATTTTCATTGATTTTCAACAAGTTTCATAGGCGACGACGATTCAATCATCCAAGACAGGAAGCACTGTTCAAACTCATTGAACTAAAAGATTGATTGCACATTTAATCTAAACTCCAAACATTAAAACAATTCCTCCAACTGAACCGAGTAAATAAGTTGTTTATAATCACTCCGAATGAACCAAACAAGTCAATAATCCAAGAAAAAGAAAAGAACTCAAACAAAAGAAAAACAACATGAACAAAAATCCACAAAACCTAGAGAACGTCCATTCCGCATAGACATCAGAGGCATAACTTTCGCACACCTCAAATCAAGGTCGTATTGCGTAAATCAGCATTCAAAGCCAAGCGGAAATGAAAAGTAAAAAGAATGAGAAAAAGTTACCTGGAACGTCAACCTTGAAGATGTGAGCATTGGATGTTTCGAGCCAATCCATGAGCGCAATGTGTTGAACACAACTCACTGTGGGAAACACTCGCTCTCTTTATTAAGACCAATCGAGAAGAGAATACAAGACACTCTGTAGAATACTTCTGCTTTTTATTGTTTTTAGATTTCTTGGATGAATAACCTAGGTAGGGTGGGGGTATTTATACTAAGAGTAAACAATCTATATTTAACCAATCTAAATCTAGACCTAACCGATTTGAATCTAGACCTAACAAATTGAATCTTTCTCCTAAAATATCTACATCTCTTTCTCCTAAAATCTCTACTAAAATAAATATACTGGGCTCGTACAATTAGGCTTGACTCTATTGGGCTAGTACAATTATTGGGCTTGACTCTATTGGGCTAGTGATGATATTTCAACACTCCCCCTCAGCACTAGTCCTCATTCGCTGCATCATGTTGAGCTGACAGCGAAAGCTCTCATGTTTGCTAGTATTCAACCCTTTTGTAAACAAGTCTGCCACTTGGTCATCTGTCTTGATCTGCTGCATCTCAATTTCTTCCTTTAGGACCTTCTCTCTAATGAAATGGTAGTGCACCTCCACATGCTTTGTTCTAGCATGAAACACTGGATTTTCTGCAAGGCGAATCGCAGATTGGTTGTCGCAAAGAAGTGATATTGGATAGTCAATTTTCTGGTGCAAATCTTCCATCAAGAGTTTTAGCCATGTACTTTCCTGGGCTGCTCCAGCCGCTGCTCTATACTCTGCTTCTGTAGTTGATAATGATACTGTTGGTTGTCTCTTGCTACACCAAGAAATTGTTCCCGAACCAAACTTGAACACATACCCAGTGGTTGACCTCCGAGTATCGTGGTCTCCTGCATAGTCAGCATCACAGTATCCAACTAGCTTGCAGTCTTTGCTTCTTTTGTACAAAAGACCATAGTCGATTGTACCTTTGATATATCTCAAGATCCGTCGAGCTGCATCCAGATGAGGCTTCTTTGGACTTTGCATGTATCGACTCATAACCCCAACTGCATACGAGATATCAGGTCGAGTTAAAGTTAGGTAGATAAGACTACCTACTAGTTGTCGGTACGTTGTTTCATCGTTCAACTCTTTGCCTTCATGTGCACAAATCTTGGCATTTATCTCCATCGGTGTTGAAACTTGCTTGCACTCTAACATGTTGAACTTCTGAAGCATGTCTCTGGTATACTTTTGTTGGCAGAGAAACAGTCCTTCATCTGTGCGATCAACTTCTAGGCCTAAGAAGTGTTTAAGCTCTCCTAGCTCTTTCATCTGAAAGCGTATTGATAAATTTTCTCTTGTTTGATAAATTTCTCTTTCATCGTCCCCGGTGATAATCAAATCGTCCACGTAGACCAACACAATTGTCAAATTTCCTTCTCTTTCTTTGATGAATAGGCTTGAGTCTGCATGCGCAACTGAATAACCACTTTGGGTAAGAAATTCAGCAATCTTACCATACCAAGCTCTCGGTGCTTGTTTCAGTCCATAAAGAGCTTTTCTAAGCTTGCATACATAATTAGGATTAGCTGCACTCTCAAATCCCTTTGGTTGGTTCATATAAATCTCCCTGTCTAGCTCTCCGTGCAAGAAGGCATTCTTCACATCCATTTGCCACAGTTTCCAATCTTTACTTGCTGCGAGTGCTAGCAGAACTCGTACGGTAGTAATCTTTGCCACTGGACTGAATGTTTCATCATAATCTAGTCCATATTGTTGAGAAAATCCTCGAGCCACGAGTCGAGCCTTGTATCTCTCGATTGATCCATCCGGTCGACGCTTTATTTTATAGACCCACTTGCAAGAGACGGGTTTGATATCTCCTAGTCTTGGCACTAGTTCCCAAGTTTGATTATGCTCCAAGGCTATAATTTCTTCCTCCATCGCTTTCTGCCAAACCGAGTTTTGTGATGCTTCTTCATATGTCTCTGGTTCGTAAACTCTATCTTCTACAATAGCTGCATTTGCATACTTAGGATTTGGCCTTCGGATTCTATTTGATCGCCTAAGTTGTTGATGTGTTGTTTCATTTTTATCAGATTCGCTTGATTGAGTCACCTCCTGCTTGTCAATATCAATGTCGCTTGGACTTTCAGATGCATCGAAATTTGATTGAATTTGTGTAGTTTGCTCCCCCAGCTTCTGTTGTAGAATTTCTTCAATGTTTGAATCTGATAAGACTTTCTTCTCCGAGGACCACCATGTAGATGCTTCATCAAAAACTACATCTCTTGATGTATAGTATTTTCCACTTGTTGGATCACAGCACCTCCATCCTTTTCTTTGATTGTCGTATCCAACAAATACACACTTGACTGCTTTCTTGTCAAACTTGCTACGTAGATGGTCAGGCACAAATACATAGCAAACACAGCCAAATACTCGGAAGTAACTAATTGTAGGTTTCATATCCCATAGTATCTCAAATGGTGAGACGAACCCTAGCTTTGGTTGAGGAAGCTTGTTGATCACATGGGCAGCAGTTCGCATAGCTTCAGCCCAAAATCTTCCTGGAACGTTCTTTGCGTGTAACATGCTTCGACAGGTTTCTGCAAGGTGTCGATTCTTTCTTTCTGCTACACCATTTTGTTGTGGCGTGTTGGCACATGTAAATTGACGTCGTATCCCACACTCGTGTAAATATTGATCGAACTCATCTGACGTGTATTCTCCGCCATTGTCTGAACGTAGACAACGAATCTTCGCTCCTACTTCTCCTTCGACCATCATCTTGAATTCTTGAAACTTTGAGAACGTGTCAGACTTTTCTTTCATAAAGAAAATCCACACATATCTTGAGTAGTCGTCAATAAATGTCACCATATACCGCATTCCGCTGATCGATGCTTGTTTGACTGGGCCGAACAAATCAGAGTGAACTAACTCTAATGGTTTCTTTGCTTTGAAACTTGACTCTTTGTATGGTAATTGATGAGCTTTACCATACTGACATCCAGCGCAGACAACGTCTGTTTTGACTTCCAGTTGTGGTAGACCTTTGAGCATAGATTTCTCCATAATCAGCTTCAACTTATGGTAGCTAATATGTCCCAATCTTGCATGCCATAGATCTGTCGTCTCATTCTTTCGGGTCTTGTCAACATAGGCAGACTCTGCAGATAGAACGTAGACAGACTCCACTCTTCGTCCTTCTATCGTCGGCTTTCCTATTATCTTAACATCTTGATAAACTTTTACATCTTCTGGCCCAAACAAGACATAGCTTCCTGATGTTGTTAGTTGTGACACTGACAACAAGTTCTTCTTTATACCCGGTACATGATAAACATTATGTAGCGACACTGTATCAGACTTATTGCCAGGCATGATTGTCGTATTGCCGATTTGAGCAATTGATAACTGTGTGTTATTTGCTGTACGTACCATACGACTTCCTTTGTACTCTTTCTTGTCTTGCAATTTTCTCTGATCGCCAGTCATGTGATTTGAACATCCTGAATCAACGATCCAGTCATTCTCATAGTTGATATGGTCTTCCATTGTCGCCATGAGTGCTAGCTCGTCTTCTTCTATGGGACATAGTACCTCTGCATCCCATTCATCTTCTATCTTCTTTTTGGATATTGCCACATTGTTTTCAATGGTCTTTTTCCTGGACCAACAATCTCTAGACATATGGCCCTTTTTCCCGCAGTTATAGCAAATACCACCAAATCTCGTTCTTTGAAAACTCTTGTTGTCGTTCTTCTGAGCTCTCTCAGGTTGTGCAATCCCTTGGTGGCTTCTTCTTTTGTCACCATTGTATCCACGTCTGGTAGACGGCCTATTATTGCTCTGACTTTCACTCGTGTAGAGTGCTTCTTCACCCTTCAACGTGAAGCCTCCCATTTGTTTAGCCATGGCTTCTTGGCTGGCTAACAAATTTTCGAACTCTACCAGTGATGGTTGAGTGGGCCATCCTTGTACAGCAGCAATGAAGCTTCGATATTCTGGTCGCAATCCGTGGATTATAATCCTCTTCATTCGAGATTCTACAATGGCGGACTTTGGGTCTAGTTCAGTAATCTCCCGACAGATCGATTTGACCTTGTGGAAGTACTGAGCAATCGTCATATCACGTTGTGAAATTGACAACAACTCATTCTCCAGAAGTTGTAGTCTCGTATCATTCTTCTTTGAGAACAACATCACGAATGTGTCCCATGCTTCTTTCGGTGTCTTGTCATCCCAAATATGTTCTAACATCTCTTCTCCGATGGTGGTCTTCAAGGCAAACATTGCTTTGCCTGCTTTGATTCTCCATTTGCGCAAGGCGTCGTTAGAATCCTCCTCTGGCGGCGTAGTTTCACACCCGCCAACGATCTCCCAAAGATCCTGTCCTTGTAAATAGGACATCATGCATGTTGCCCACGTGTTGTAGTTGTTGTTGTTGAGTTTCTTAATTCCTCCAACGATTTGGAAATCACTCATCGTGTTGGCCATACCTCAGTAATACCAAACAAGTTCTTTTGACACAAGACTTGCAGAGTCACAGACTTCTCACGACACAAAAGAAACTCACTCACCACTAATCTCAAGAAATCGTTTCTGATGTGGAAGATCAGGCAGAGCTGCAACCACAGAGCATACTAAGGATTCCAAGAGATCAGATAACCTACACTAACCTCGCTCTGATACCAAATGTTGAACACAACTCACTGTGGGAAACACTCGCTCTCTTTATTAAGACCAATCGAGAAGAGAATACAAGACACTCTGTAGAATACTTCTGCTTTTTATTGTTTTTAGATTTCTTGGATGAATAACCTAGGTAGGGTGGGGGTATTTATACTAAGAGTAAACAATCTATATTTAACCAATCTAAATCTAGACCTAACCGATTTGAATCTAGACCTAACAAATTGAATCTTTCTCCTAAAATATCTACATCTCTTTCTCCTAAAATCTCTACTAAAATAAATATACTGGGCTCGTACAATTAGGCTTGACTCTATTGGGCTAGTACAATTATTGGGCTTGACTCTATTGGGCTAGTGATGATATTTCAACACAATGGTGCCGGACGGCCCCCGGAACACGGCCGGGCTCCAGAAGAAGCGCCGAAGAGGATATCCAAAGAGATCATTCGCCATTGAAAGCAAGCCTAAGGAATTGAAGTTCCACAGACGGCAGCTGCGGCAAAATTGTATTTATTTAGGGAACTGATCGAAACTAAAAATCTCTGGAAACTGAAACGATCTCCAGAGACTTCCGACCTTCGATCATTTAAGCCACTGTTTCTAGACTCTTCTCCTACATTTCTGAAATCCCATCATCCCTCACGTGTCATCCACGTGCAATATGAGCTCTAAATGGAATAATAATTTTGAAAATATTATTATAAAATTGATGAATGTAGAAATTATCTAATAAGAATTAATCAAATATTTGTAAGATTTTTATTGGAATTTATGCATTAATCATGTTTAATGTTAATTTAATTTTATAAACAAATTTTTAATTTTTTTTATTGGAATAACGACTCTACACGTTCATACCAATAAAGATATTTTCTCTCACTTATATACCCATGATTTTTCTCTTAATTAATTAACGTGCGACTCCACGTAAAAATTGGTTAAAGTTTAAAAGTGATAATGCAACAAGATATTAAGTCAAGCGTTAATGTACCAACACAGAGGACACGGGCGAAAATAGAGAATTGAGGACTTAATTGATGGATGAATAAAAAGGTGTATGAATCAAGGAAGGCAATGAGAGCGTGGGAAGGAGGTCTTAAAGAAACATGAGAAGATCATATTTCACTTGCTCGTTTCACTGCATTCCTGAATTCTTTGTCCGGTCACATATTCATAAAAGAGTAATTGGCACACCACATCACCCTGTGTCTAACTCTGATACCATTTGTAACAGCTTAAGCCCCTTGTGTCTAACTCTGATACCATTTGTAACAACCTAAGCCCACTATCAGTAGCTCGTTACGTATGATCGTTAGTCTTATCTATTAGGGAGAAGTTTCCACACTCATATAAAGAATGTTTTGTTCTTCTCTTTAAAATAAATTATTCATACATATTATAGTCCAAGCGGACCCACTTAAAATAATTCTTAAACTATGACCGACAATAAATTATTTATGAGTTTAATGTAGGAAAACAATAAAGGATTAGTTGGCGTAACCGGTAAAACCGTTGCTTTCCATTAATAAATAAGAATAAATCCTCAAAATTGATATTAGAATAATCATACTTCAACCATTGATTTGGCACTAAAATTATAATTAAAAGTTTGAAAATTATAATTAATTATAGAAAACAGGAAGTGGTTAGCCATGTTGTAACCAAATTATTTGCACTTAAACCAGCTCATCATTTGGAAATTAAATTTTATTTATTTTTTCTTATTTTATATTTCAAAATGCTCAAATTAATTAAAATATTTCATTGTCAAAGAGAATTTCCGAAATTATAATTGGAAATTTGAGAGCATTCATGCATTAGCTCCACACAAAAATAACGTATTTTAATTCAATTTAACCAACCATATTTAAAATATAATTAAAACTTTTTATATTTAAAATAGCTCCACACACTTGGTTGTAACGGTTTAAGTATACTGCTAACACGATTTTAAAACGTGTTTGCTAGAGAGATATTTTCACACGCTTATAAGGATTGTTTCGTTTTCCTTTCTAATGAGATCTCACCATCCACTCCCTTTGGGGCTAGCGTTCTCATTGGCAAACTGCTCAATGCCTCTATATGATACCATTTGTAACTGTTCAGACCAAACGTTGATTGTGAGATCCCACATCAGTTGGAGAAAGGAATAAAACATTCATTTTAACGCTGTAAAAATCTCTTTTATAGCAAATGTGTTTTAAAACGATGAGGTTGATGACAATGTAATGAGTCAAAAAGAGACAATATTTATTAACAGTCGGCTTAGACAATTACACACAATCCCAAAGCTAAATTTAGAAAGAACACGTAAAAATCTTATGGAAAAATCCAAATTCAAAGAATCAACAAACAATTTTATGTTCAATTAGTTCATCTGTCAGCAATCCTCCTTTGAATCATCAGAGAAAAGCTTGCTAGATTGAAGGTGGAACCATGATTGAATCAGCCGAGTAAAATTGCTGAGAAACAGTACTATCCACATCATAAAATTTATCGTTGCTCGTCTCTTGTTCTTTCAGTAAGATCGAATGATATATTTCGTCAATTCGACTCGTCACCTTTGCCATCGATGGACGACTATCGGGGTGTGGTGCTGTACACAACATGGCAAGATGTAGAAGTTGAACCATTTCGTCCAAGCCATTCTTGTATTCTAACAGCTCCTCGTCGAACACTTCGGCCGTTTTCTTCTCTTCGATCTTCGAGTGCACCCATCGTGGTAGGTCTATGCCATCGTCATTGAGCATTGGTGAGTTCGGAGCCTTCCCTGTTAGAAGCTCTAGAATTACTACACCGAAACTATAAACATCTGCTTTTAAGGATACTTTTCGAGGATCAGTGACTTCAGGGGCACGGTAGGTTGCAATATGGTTTGGAGTGGATGTAGGACCTGCAATCTGAATGAGGCCGAAGTCGGAAACACAAGCTGTCCGGGATCGATTGAGGAGAATGTTTGAAGACTTTATATTGCCATGGGAGGTCGGAGGTCGTCGAGAATGTAGATATGTTATCCCCCGAGCGGCTGCGAGCGCAATGCCCGCCCTTGCTTCCCATTTCAATGGAGTCCTGCCCGGACTTTTGTTGCCTGAAACCATAAGATAACCATATAGACATAACATTCATTCAGAGGCACAACATGTGATTGTTATAAACAAATTCTTAACCAGAGGCAACAAAAGATAATAGCAGAACTACGAAAACCATCTAAATCACACTCTTAAAACTTCGGTTTTCATTGCTTCAGCCAATATGAACTCGTCTCTGATGTTCAAATTCAGCCCCAGTCCAAGTCCACCGCTAGTCAATATTATACGTTTTGATCCTTTACGTATTGCCATCAGATTCTCAATTTTAAACCGTGTCTATCATGGAGAGGGTCTAGCCCTACTCCGAGCAATGCCTTGCACCATCTGGTGACTTGCTCTTATACCATTTGTAATAGTCTAAGCTCACCGCTAGCACATATTGTCCTCTTTGGATTAGAGAGGAGAATGAAACATTCAAATGGTGTGTAAATCTCTCACTAGTAGGCGTGTTTAAAAATCTCAAGGAAAAATCGGAAGGAGAAACCTAAGCAGAACAATATCTGCTAGCAGTGAGCTTTTAACTGTTACAAAACCGTGCAAACTACTCCTAAGCAGCACAATTCCATCCTCCAAATCACAAATTACTCAAAAAATTCATCAAAACTCTAAAATGGAAGAAAGAAGCTCACCATGTAAGTGTACAGATAAGCTTCCCATGGAGACATAATCACACAGCAGCAGCTTCTCATCTCCGCCATAATAGTAACCATTAATGGAAACCAAGTTCTGATGGTTCATCATCCCCAAGCTTTCAATCTTCTCCTTGAATTCCTTCTCTGAAACTATGACATCTCTCAACCTCTTAACCGCCACAGTCATCCCTACATCAAGAGATGCCTTGTAAGTTGATCCAAAAGAACCCTTCCCCAGCACCTCTGCTGAAGCTTTCAACAGTTCCTCCAAATCAAACGTTCTTTCTCCATTCCCACAGAACACCAAATTCCTCTCACTCCCAATTCCTCCGCTTCCGCCGCCGGCATTATCAACCTCCGACGACAATCTCTCGGAGGTCGTCGTCTGAGCACCAGCTGACCGATTAGTCCTGTTCGTCTTTCGGTACAGAAAGATTAAAATCAGAACTATAATCAAGAATGCAACCAAACTTCCGATAACTATTCCGATGATTGCTCCTGTGGATAATTTCTTCTCCTCGCCGTCGCAAGGGCTCAGTGGCTTCCCGCAGAGCGAATTGCCATCGAAGGCGCTGGCTGGTTGATCGGAAAACTGCGTAGGGATTGAGCCGTTGAGACGATTGAAAGAAACATTGAGAGCCTTGAGAGAGGGAAGGTTGAAATCAGGAATGAATCCATCGAGTTGATTCTCTTCCAAGTTGAGAACCTTCAAGTTCGTGAGATTATCGAATCCAGAAGGAATTGAACCGTCAAACTTGTTGTGCGCCAAATTCAGGCGAACAAGACTCTGAATACTGAACAGAACCGGAGAAATCTCGCCGGAAAACAAGTTCCGATGCAAGTATAGATTCCGGAGGGAGCGGAGGTTTGCAAAATCAGATGGAATAGAACCTGCAAGCAAGTTAGAGCGAAGAGATAGGGTTTCAAGTTGAGTCAAATTTCCAAACCCTAAAGGAAGTTGCCCGACGAGTCCAACGCCAGGAAGCCGCAGTTCAGCAACCCTCCCGCCGCGGCAAGTGACGCCAAGCCACAAACATGGAGTCTCATCGGAAAGGTTCCAACGGCGAGTCCGACTCAGAACGCCCATAGCTTTCTGAAGCACCACCAGCGCCGCCGTGTCCGACGCAAGATCCGCCTCTCCTACAGTAAAGAGCATCAAAACAACAAAAACCGCTGACGTAAACCAAAGCCGGAGCGGATTCCGGCGCTCCATTGTCGGCAACGAAGAAGAAAATAGAGAGATTGAACTCGAGAAGAATTGAGGAAGAAAGTATTGTAAAATCCAGATAATTAAGAAGATTGTTGAAGTCAACAGAGGAATCACAGAGGAGATGGCTCACCATTGTAGAATAACGTGAAGAAGTTGAAGTGTACAGGGAAATTGGTTGACTGAGTAAAAATGGAAAATCAGATAGAAAGATGATGGTGAAGATTCTGAGACATTTATGGGAAGTTGACGGATTTCTTCCAAAAGTGGGCCTCGATAATCAAGAACATGCCATCCAATATATAACCTTGGTTTATGCCGACCAAATCGAGACGGCCAATGATTTTGTTTTTCCTTTTTCAGGACAGTTACCCAGTGATTAAGGATTTATACTCTTAATCAATGGATATTTGTTGGATGATGAAAGTCCCACCTCGGCTAATTTAGGGAATGATCATGAGTTTATAAGTGAGGAATACTAACTCCATTGGTATGAGGCCTTTTGGGAAGCCCAAAGCAAAGCCATGAGAGCTTATGCTCAAAGTGGACAAGGATTTATACTCTTAATCAATGGATATTAATTATTAACCTTTGCTCCAAAACTAAATTAAATTCTAATAATGTAGGGGGTTTTAATTTTATGGAAATATTGGTGCATATATGAATAAATTATAAATTAAAATAGTTTTATTTAATTGGTTTTTTTTTTATAAGTATTTGATAAGTTGTTAAATTTTGTTTTTTTCTTCTAATAGATCATTAATATATATATATATATATATATTAAAATTTAATTTTGTTTTTGAACCATCATACTCAAATTTATTAGTGTTTGGATTAAAATTCAAATATAGTTGGAGAAATTTTATTTTTATATACAAGTTTGTTGTGTTTGCCCTACCATTCTCGAGACTTTGAATGGCAAGACTATGGATATCGAGCCTAGTGAAAAGAGTCAATCATAACCTGCGAAATGGTTAGATTATATATCTAATATACGAAAGACCAAGCAAAGTCCCGACAGAATCTTCAAATGATGGAGGCTTGGTTGCTCACCTAATCATGTTAATCTACAAATCCAAAAAGCTTGCATTTTCCTCTTCATTGAGTATGTAAAGTAATGGGTAGTTCAAGTATTAGTGGTTTGCGTAGAATCGGTTGTTTACGAAGGACATATTTGTTTTTACTCCTAATGGGCCCCACGAACATCGCGTTCAAGATGTTTATATAAATGTCAAAGTACTATAAATAAATAATATCCGTTTTTATATAATTTGAGAATTCAACCAAATCAGATTATCTAACCAAAACTATAAAATTTGGTATTCCATAGGGCTACTATCTAATTCAACCCAAATTTTAAGATTATTACAAATGTTAAAAATATTTGATATATGAATATTTAATAGTTAAGTTTTATGAATGTAACTGGTATAATTTGTAAAATAAAATAAACTAAAAAATCGAGGGTGATTAGGCTTGAACCATGATTGCTTAGGTCACCGACCCAAACAACCTAAAATTTTGGATGGGTCCAAAAAAATTCAACCCAACTTGTATAGGCTCGGTAAGAAATACTACCAAACACCACTACTAAAATATGTCATAGGTTAGTCTCTTTAAATTATATGATAAATATGGCACATAAATTAATTTGTTACTTTCACAGAAGACAAAAAAAAAAAAAAAAAAAAAAAAAAAAAAAAAAAAAAAAAAAAAAAAAAAAAAAAAAAAAAAAAA